ATTTTTAATATTTCCACTTTCAGATGCTCATCAATGAGGCTGCAGCTCAATTCTGCATTCGTGACAATGCTCTGTTGTTACGCAGAGTTGAACTGTTCTCTTTAGCACGACAAGTGGCGAGAGAATGTGCCTACACGTCAACATTTAAGCATAACAGGTCAGGAACTACTTTCATTTTGATTTTGAAATTGTTTCAGATTTTGCATCCAGATGAGGTGGTTACATGTATTGTTAGATATTTACAGGCATAATTAAGATATGCACGTATACACAGTACATGCAGCAGTGGAAAAAATTAAGAGAAGTGTCTCTGGATTTACTGTTTGTATGTTTAAGTAAATTGAACATTTTTGTTTTATTCAACAAACTACTGTTTCAAATAATACTAATCAACACGACTTTTATAGCATTAATTTGCCGAAAATGACTTTGGGTCAAAATATCAACGATACAGTGCTTCCAGACCTTGAATAATGCAAAGGAAACAAGTTCATATTCATTTTTAAAAATTGCAATACTATTGTTTTAACTTGGGAAGAGTTTGAAATCAATATTTGTGGAATAAATCACATAAATAGTAAATCCACAGATTTTAACTGTACTTGTGATTCCTAGGCTCATGCCAAGACAAAAGCAAACCATGTTTTTATTTTCTGCCCAACTTTTCTTAAAAACAGAAATTTTTTTTAACTCCTCCCAAGAATTTTAATTCGACCTTCACCAAACTTGGCTCATATCATCTTCAAAGGTTTTTCATGAGCCAAACACTTATGTAATAAGTCATCAGACAAAATAGTCATTCAACAGAAAGCACACCAAAAACAAGGCAAGTTTCGCAATGCTATAAGACAATGGAATTTGGTTTATTATCACAACCCAAGACCTGAGAGTACCAGAGCAGTTTGGAGACAGCGCCACCTACTGGTGATGAAATCTGGAAAAAAATGGCTTGTGTCACAATTGTTTGGCCTAAAAGAGTGGTTCTGAAATGGGTGCTTCTATGGTGGCCGAGAAGTGCAAAGCAAAACACAATTCTGAAAACAAAAT